GAAGGGGGGGATGGAGGGAGGACGGAAGACTGAAGGGGGGGGGGGATGGAGGGAGGACGGAAGACTGAAGGGGGGGATGGAGGGAGGACGGAAGACTGAAGGGGGGGATGGAGGGAGGACGGAAGACTGAAGGGGGGGATGGAGGGAGGACGGAAGACTGAAGGGGGGGATGGAGGGAGGGGGGGATGGGGGGAGGACGGAAGAGAAGGGACTGAAGGGGGGGATGGAGGGAGGACTGAGGGAGGGATGGAGGGGAGGACGGAAGACTGAAGGGGGGGATGGAGGGAGGAGGAAGGACTGAAGGGGGGGATGGAGGGAGGACGGAAAGACTGAAGGGGGGGGATGGAGGGAGGGACGGAAGACTGAAGGGGGGGATGGAGGGAGGACGGAAGACTGAAGGGGAGGACGGAAGACTGAAGGGGAGGACGGAAGACTGAAGGGGAGGACGGAAGGGGAGGACTGAAAGGGGGTAGGACGGAAGACTGAAGGGGAGGACGGAAGACTGGGGGGGGAGAGGGGGGGGGAGGGAGGACGGAAGACTGAAGGGGGGGATGGAGGGAGGACGGAAGATGACTGAAGGGGGGGGAATGGAGGGAGGACGGAAGACTGAAGGGGGGATGGAGGGAGGACGGAAGACTGAAGGGGGGGATGGAGGGGAGGACGGAAGACTGAAGGGGGGGATGGAGGGGGGACTGAAGGGAAGGATGGAGGCAGGACGGAAGACTGAAGGGGGGGATGGAGGGAGGACGGAAGACTGAAGGGGGGGAGATGGAGGAGGGACGGAAGACTGAAGGGGGGGATGGAGGGAGGACGGAAGACTGAACGGGGGGGGGAGGGAGGACGGAAGACTGAAGGGGGGGATGGAGGGAGGACGGAAGACTGAAGGGGGGGATGGGAGGGAGGACGGAAGACTGAAGGGGGGGATGGAGGGAGGACGGAAGACTGAAGGGGAGGACAGAAGACTGAAGGGGAGGAAGGAAGACTGAAGGGGAGGAAGGGAAGACTGAAGGGGGAGGACGGAAGACTGAAGGGGAGGAACCGGAAGACTGAAGGGGGGGAGATGGAGGGAGGACGGGAAGGGATTTTCCCTGAAGGGGGGATGGAGGGAGGACGGAAGACTGAAGGGGGGGATGGAGGGAGGATAAAAGACTGGAGGGAGGATAAAAGACTGAGGGGGGGGGATGGAGGGAGGATGGAAGACTGAAGGGGGGGGGATGGAGGGAGGATAAAAGACTGGAGGGAGGATGGAAGACTGAAGGGGGGGGGGATGGAGGGAGGATGGAAGACTGAAGGGGGGGGGGGGAGGGAGGATGGGGGAGGATGGGAAGACTGAAGGGGGGGGGATGGAGGGAGGATGGGAAGAAGGGGGGGGGATGGAGGGAGGATGGAAGACTGAAGGGGGGGATGGAGGGTGAGGATGGAAGACTGAAGGGGGGGGGGATGGAGGGAGGATGGAAGACTGAAGGGGGGATATGGAGGGAGGATGGAAGACTGAAGGGGGGATATGGAGGGAGGATGGAAGACTGAAGGGGGGGGGATGGAGGGAGGATGGAAGACTGAAGGGGGGGATGGAGGGAGGATGGAAGACTGAAGGGGGGGGATGGAGGGAGGATGGAAGACTGAAGGGGGGGGATGGAGGGAGGATGGAAGACTGAAGGGGGGGGATGGAGGGAGGATGGAAGACTGAAGGGGGGGGGGGGGATGGAGGGAGGATGGAAGACTGAAGGGGGGGGGGAGGGGTGGAGGGAGGATGGAAGACTGAAGGGGGGGGATGGAGGGAGGATGGAAGACTGAAGGGGGGGGATGGAGGGAGGATGGAAAGACTGAAGGGGGGGGGGGATGGAGGGAGGATGGAAGAGACTGAAGGGGGGGGATGGAGGGAGGATGGAAAAGACTGAAGGGGGGGGGGGGGGGGGTGGAGGGGGACTGACGTGGTTGTGGGATGGAAAAGACTGAAGGGGGGGGGGATGGAGGGAGGATGGGAGGGTGTTAGAAACTGAAAGGGGGGGGAATGGGGGAGGATGGAGGATGGACTGACGGGGGGTGTGTGGAGGGGGGTTATAAGACTGAAGGGGAGATGGAGGGAGGATGGAAGACTGACGGGGGGGGTGTGGAGGGGGGTTATAAGACTGAAGGGGGGGATGGAGGGGTAGGATAGAAGACTGACGGGGGGGGTGTGTGGAGGGGGGTTATAAGACTGAAGGGGAGATGGAGGGAGGATGGAAGATGAAGGGGGGGGAGGGAGGGGAGGATGGAAGACTGAAGGGGGGGGGGGGAGGGAGGATGGAAGACTGAAGGGGGGGAGGGAGGGAGGGTGGAAGACTGAAGGGGGGGGGAGGGAGGGTGGAAGACTGAAGGGGGGATGGAAGTGGAGGGTGGAAGACTGAAGGGGGGATGGAGGGAGGGTGGAAGACCGTTGGGGGGATGGAGGGAGGGTGGAAGACTGGAGGGGGGAAGTGGAGGAGGGAGAGGGATGGAAGACTGAAGGGGGGGGAGGGAGGGGGAGGATGGGAGACTGAAGGGGGGATGGAGGGAGGATGGGAGACTGAAGGGGGGATGGAGGGAGGGTAGAAGACTGAAGGGGGGGATGGAGGGAGGGTGAAGGAAGACTGAAGGGGGGGATGGAGGGAGGGTAGAAGACTGAAGGGGGGGGATGGAGGGAGGATGGAAGACTGAAGGGGGGGGTGGAGGGAGGAATGGAAGACTGAAGGGGAGATGGAGGGGAGGATGGAAGAGACTGAAGGGGAGATGGAGGGAGGATGGAAGACTGAAGGGGAGATGGAGGGAGGATGGAAGAACTGAAGGGGGGGGAGGGGTAGGGAGGATGGAAGACTGAAGGGGGGGGGAGGGGGAGGGAGGATGGAAGACTGAAGGGGGGGATGGAGGGAGGATGGAAGACTGAAGGGGGGGATGGAGGGAGGATGGAAGACTGAAGGGGGGGGATGGAGGGAGGATGGAAGACTGAAGGGGGGGATGATGGAGGGAGGATGGAAGACTGAAGGGGGGGGGGGGTGGAGGGAGGATGGAAGACTGAAGGGGGGGATGGAGGGAGGATGGTAGACTGAAGGGGGGGGGAGTGGAGGGAGGATGGTAGACTGGAGGAAGGGGGGGATGGAGGGAGGATGGAAGACTGAAGGGGGGGGGGGGGGGGAGGAGGATGGGAAGACTGAAGGGGGGGGGTGGAGGGAGGATGGAAGACTGAAGGGGGGGGATGGAGGGAGGATGGAAGACTGAAGGGGGGGAGGGAGGGAGGATGGAAGGATGAAGGGGGGGAGGGAGGGAGGATGGAAGACTGAAGGGGGGGGGTGGAGGGAGGATGGAAGACTGAAGGGGGGGGATGGAGGGAGGATGGAAGACTGAAGGGGGGGGAGGGAGGGAGGATGGAAGACTGAAGGGGGGGAGGGAGGGTAGGGAGGATGGAAGACTGAAGGGGGGGAGGGGAGGGAGGATGGAAGACTGAAGGGGGGGAGGGAGGGAGGGTGGAAGACTGAAGGGGGGGAGGGAGGGAGGGTGGAAGACTGAAGGGGGGATGGAGGGAGGGTGGGAAGGACTGAAGGGGGGATGGAGGGAGGGTGGGAAGACCGTTGGGGGGATGGAGGGAGGGTGGAAGACTGGAGGGGGGGGATGGAGGGAGGACGGAAGACTGAAGGGGGGGGAGGGGAGGGAGGATGGGAGACTGAAGGGGGGATGGAGGGAGGATGGGAGAGACTGAAGGGGGGATGGAGGGGGGTAGAAGACTGAAGGGGGGATGGAGGGAGGGTAGAAGACTGAAGGGGGGGATGGAGGGAGGATGGAAGACTGAAGGGGGGGATGGAGGGAGGATGGAAGACTGAAGGGGAGATGGAGGGAGATGGAAGACTGAAGGGGAGATGGAGGGAGGATGGAAGACTGAAGGGGAGATGGAGGGGAGGATGGAAGACTGAAGGGGAGATGGAGGGAGGATGGAAGACTGAAGGGGGGGGGGGGAGGGAGGATGGAAGACTGAAGGGGGGAGGGAGGGAGGATGGAAGACTGAAGGGGGGGAGGGAGGGAGGATGGAAGACTGAAGGGGGGGGGAGGATGGAAGACTGAAGGGGGGGAGGGGGGGGGAGGGAGGGAGGATGGAAGACTGAAGGGGGGGAGGGAGGGAGGGAGGATGGAAGACTGAAGGGGGGGAGGGGAGGGAGGGAGGGAGGATGGAAGACTGAAGGGGGGGAGGGAGGGAGAGGGAGGGTGGAAGACTGAAGGGGGGGATGGAGGGGGGGTGGTGGAAGACTGAAGGGGGGATGGAGGGAGGGTGGAAGACTGAAGGGGGGATGGAGGGAGGGTGGAAGACTGAAGGGGGGATGGAGGGAGGACGGAAGACAATGGGTGGGGGGGAAGGAGGGAGGACGGAAGACTGGAGGGGGGGATGGAGGGAGGACGGAAGACTGGGGGGGGGGTGGAGGGGGATGGATGGGGGGTAGGGAGGACGGAAGACTGGAGGGGGGGGGATGGAGGGAGAGGACCGAAGACTGGAGGGGGGATGGAGGGAGGACCGAAGACTGGAGTGGGGGATGGAGGGAGGACGGAAGACTGAAGGGGGGGGGGGGTGGGGGAGGATGGAAGACTGGAAGGAGGGGGGGGGTGGAGGGAGGATGGAAGACTGGAGGGGGGGATGGAGGGAGGACGGAAGACTGGAGGGGGGGATGGAGGGAGGGAGGAAGACTGAAGGGGGGGGTGGAGGGAGGATGGAAGACTGGAGGGGGGGATGGATGGAGGGAGGGAGGAAGACTGAAGGGGGGGGGGGGGTGGAGGGAGGATGGAAGACTGAAGGGGGGGATGGAGGGAGAACGGAAGACTGGAGGGGGGGGATGGAGGAGGATGGAAGACTGGAGGGGGGATGGAGGGAGGGTAGAAGTAGGGATCAGGCACTGGATTGGCCGTTCTCAGGGTGCAGGAAGAGGAGGGGCAGCTCCTCCTGTCGGGATGGATTGGACAGATTCGGTCTTTAGGTCTGGGACGGGTAGCGGCTGACATACTTGTCCTTTACGGTGACGCCATTCATTGATGATGCAGTTGGTGATCTTCACTCGATCCCGGACGGTGCAGTTGGAGCCGAGAAGTGAGTGTTTTATGGAGGTCTTCTCCCCGACCTGCGTCTGAGCCCCGACCATGCTGTCCGCCCCCACCTGAGGAGGAAGAGACCCTATTAGTACCCATCCCCCACACACAGCAATCAATATTTCCTTCATTTCCTGCCCCGGTGACCACACAGGAAGTGAGAAGAAATCTCCACCAATCTCCCCCCTTACAATGCAGTCCTAGGATGGACCATGATGTCCATGAGCTGCTCCAGACTCACCATGAGTTTATCTGCGATGATGGCGGACGGGTTGTGAACGCGCGGATCTTCCCCACAGAGGCCGCACAGAGGTACCTGCCGAACAGAACAGAGTCATCAGATGATACAGGACTTAAAAAGGAACCCCAGTCTGCCCCAAAGTGGTGTCAACCCGCGTCCCAAGAGAGTCAGGCATGCGGATGCCCGGGCACGTCTGGAGGGATGTCGGGGCTGCAGTGTCTACAACAAATGCCGCAAGTATATGCCACCTGGACGGATCTGGGGGGTACACGAGGATCTTGGGATGGGCCATTGGTGTTACTGGGTTCCGGGGTGATGTATGGGCTATACTAGGATCATGGGTGCGGGTGATGGGCCACGGTTTGGGTACAGGGGTGATGTATGGGCTATACTAGGATCATGGGTGTGGGTGATGGGCCATGGTTGGGTGCAGGGGTGATGTATGGCCTATACTAGGATCATGGGTGCGGGTGATGGGCCCTTGTTGGGTACGGGGTGATGTATGGGCTATACTAGGATCACAGGTGCGGGTGATGGGCCCTTGTTGGGTACAGGGGTGATGTATGGGCTATACTAGGATCATGGGTGCGGGTGATGGGCCACGGTTTGGGTACAGGGGTGATGTATGGGCTATACTAGGATCATGGGTGCGGGTGATGGGCCCTTGTTGGGTACAGGGGTGATGTATGGGCTATACTAGGATCACAGGTGCGGGTGATGGGCCACGGTTTGGGTACAGGGGTGATGTATGGGCTATACTAGGATCATGGGTGCGGGTGATGGGCCATGGTTGGGTACAGGGGTGATGTATGGGCTATACTAGGATCACAGGTGCGGGTGATGGGCCACGGTTTGGGTACAGGGGTGATGTATGGGCTATACTAGGATCACAGGTGTGGGTGATGGGCCCTTGTTGGGTACAGGGGTGATGTATGGCCTATACTAGGATCATGGGTGTGGGTGATGGGCCCTTGTTGGGTACAGGGGTGATGTATGGGCTATACTAGGATCATGGGTGTGGGTGATGGGCCCTTGTTGGGTACAGGGGTGATGTATGGGCTATACTAGGATCATGGGTGTGGGTGATGGGCCACGGTTGGGTACAGGGGTGATGTATGGGCTATACTAGGATCATGGGTGTGGGTGATGGGCCATGGTTGGGTACAGGGGTGATGTATGGGCTATACTAGGATCATGGGTGTGGGTGATGGGCCACGGTTGGGTACAGGGGTGATGTATGGGCTATACTAGGATCATGGGTGTGGGTGATGGGCCACGGTTGGGTACAGGGGTGATGTATGGGCTATACTAGGATCACAGGTGCGGGTGATGGGCCATGGTTGGGTACAGGGGTGATGTATGGGCTATACTAGGATCACAGGTGTGGGTGATGGGCCACGGTTTGGGTACAGGGGTGATGTATGGGCTATACGAGGATCATAGGTGCGGGTGATGGGCCACGGTTTGGGTACGGGGGTGATGTATGGCCGATACTAGGATCACGGGTGTGGGTGATGGGCCACGGTTGGGTACGGGGGTGATGTATGGCCGATACTAGGATCACGGGTGCGGGTGATGGGCCACGGTTGGGTACAGGGGTGATTTATAGATCGACTCTTTTTGCTCGTCAGCTCTCTTAGTGTATTTTATGTGCGGCCCGAGACGATTCTTCTTCCAATGTGGCCCAGGAAAGGGTTTGGACACCTCAGCTTTAGAACATGGCGGTGGGCAGGATTGACACTGTAGACTGGAAGTCATCTGCATGACCATCAGTCAAGTCATGTAGGCCTGGATGGGCGGACAGAACGTGTGATGAGCCATCAGTCCGGGTGGGCGGGACAGAATGGGAGACTGACTGGCCGGGCACCGGCCCCTGCGGACAGCGGTGATGTAATCGTGGCAGTATGCTACACGTGGGCAGTTCGATGAGCGATGGCTTCAGGAGAGATCAGAACGTCTTCCAAAGACATCAGGGACCAGAATGGGACCTTTACAGAAGAATGACCCGTTGCAGCTCGACTACACGAAGGATCGGTACAAAGGTGCGAGTTCTGCTCCATCACGGGAACGCACCATACGGCCACCGCCAGGACCACGCCGGTGAGAGGACCACGCCGGTGAGAGGACCACGCCGTGCCGGGAACCCACCTGCTTGTTGGCCTCGATGTACATCCCCAGACTGTTCACTCTGCAGCACAGCTCACTCTGGGCCACGTGGACGTAGCAGCGCAGGCGGCTGCCGTGGTACGGTTCCCGCATGTCGCCACGGTGATCGTTCCAGCTCGATTTACTCAATGCCGTTTCCAGGAGCTCATCGTGGGGTATAAAGCTGTAGATGTCTGATAGGGGGGCACAAAGCAAAGACCGGGATGAACATGCGCTTTCCTCTTTAGCCCCGCCCCTTCTTCTCTATGGCTTCAGAAGATGCTGAACTACAAGACCGCCATCTTTGTGCTAGTTGCTCCCTGTACAGAGTCTCAACCCCCCCCCCCCACCACCACCACCATCCACCACTCCAATGGCAGAACCTCTACCGTCCACTAGGGTTCTGGTACTGGAGTGTTGACTATAGGAGGTGGGTCTTAAAGTGGACCCGCTTGGTTATGGGGAACATCTAGAAATGGGTACAGTGGAGGACAGAAGCTCCTGAAGACTTTTGAGGACGAAACGTACATCCGCCTTACGTCACATCCAGAACTGAAAATGCCTGGGAGGACATTTTTAATGAGGGCAAATCAAATACAGAGCGATAGTCCCAATTTGGCGATTTGGGTGTGAAGGGTGATACTTCTGGGTATATAAAATGGGTAAGGTGGAGGCCAGAAGCTCCTGAAGACTTGACGAAACGCGTAGAACAGTGCATCAGACTTACGTCACGTCCAGAACTGGAAATGCCAGGGCGGACATTTTTAATGAGGGCAAATATACGATTTGACGAGGCTTTTACCTATGTAAGTGCAATACACGTTATCACTTATAATAAAATGTTACTTTTCACAATGTTGGGGTTCTCTTCTTCCTTATTGCCGATTTATGGAGGACAAATGTTGAGCCACATTTAGGCAAGATTGTGCCTCTCCCGAAAGTTGGAGGAAAAGTCTATTTAGGGTCGCCCCAGACATCGAAGAAATTATAGAAGATATGTGCAGCCACCTTTGGGTGTTTGCCGGTACCCCCACCTTTGGGTGTTTGCCGGTACCCTCACCTTTGGGTGTTTGCCGGTACCCCCACCTTTGGCTGTTTGCCGGTACCCCCACCTTTGGGTGTTTGCCGGTACCCCCACCTTTGGGTGTTTGCCGGTACCCCCCCACCTTTGGGTGTTTGCCGGTACCCCCACCTTTGGGTGTTTGCCGGTACCCCCACCTTTGGGTGTTTGCCGGTACCCTCACCTTTGGGTGTTTGCCGGTACCCTCACCTTTGGGTGTTTGCCGGTACCCCCACCTTTGGGTGTTTGCCGGTACCCCCACCTTTGGGTGTTTGCCGGTACCCCCACCTTTGGGTGTTTGCCGGTACCCTCACCTTTGGGTGTTTGCCGGTGCATCCACCTTTGGGTGTTTGCCGATACCCCCACCTTTCGGTGTTTGCCGGTACCCCCCCCCACCTTTGGGTGTTTGCCGGTACCCCCACCTTTGGGTGTTTGCCGGTACCCCCACCTTTCGGTGTTTGCCGGTACCCCCCCACCTTTGGGTGTTTGCCGGTACCCCCCCCACCTTTGGGTGTTTGCCGGTACCCCCACCTTTCGGTGTTTGCCGGTACCCCCACCTTTGGGTGTTTGCCGGTACCCCCACCTTTGGGTGTTTGCCGGTACCCCCACCTTTGGGTGTTTGCCGGTACCCCCACATATTTATATAGAGGAGGACATGAAGTGAAGCCCCTCGGACAAGAATGATCTGACCTGGGGGCCAATATCAGGCGGTTAGGACACCCGGAGTACATTTGTGTCTCTGGTTCCTCACCCTTCGCTCGGGTCTCCTTGCCCACATCCTGGTCCACCTTCTTGTGTGAGGAGGAGAACTGCTTACTGACCAGATATGGCACCAGCTCCCGCCGGATGGAGGAGAACGAGCTGCATGGGTGAGAAAAGGGTTCAAAATGATCAGTCAGCACAACAAGGGATATTTCAATTACAGATGCAGAATTATCCAACAACTGCATACCCCTCCCCCCCCCCCCATTATATTCTCCATCATATAAACAGTAAACCCAGAAAACATGGCAGGAACCCCTTATAAATACCACAGCGGGTGTACAGACCCGGGAACTCAGCACAGGGATGGTGGGAACCCCTCATAATGGGCACAGTGGGTGTACAGACCCGGGAACTCAGCACAGGGATGGTGGGAACCCTTCATAATGGGCACAGCGGGGGTACAGACCCCAGAACAAAGCACAGGGATGCTGGGAACCCCTCATAATGCGCACAGCGGGTGTACAGACCCGGGAACTCAGCACAGGGATGGTGGGAACCCCTCATAATGGGCACAGTGGGTGTACAGACCCGGGAACAAAGCACAGGGATGGTGGGAACCCCTCATAATGGGCACAGCGGGTGTACAGACTCGGGAACTCAGCACAGGGATGGTGGGAACCCCTCATAATGGGCACAGCGGGTGTACAGACCAAGGAACAAAGCACAGGGATGGTGGGATCCCCTCATAATGGGCAAGGCAGGTGTACCGACTCGGGAACTCAGCACAGGGATGGTGCGAACCCCTCATAATGGGCACAACGGGTGTACAGACCCGGGAACTCGGCACGGGGATGGTGGGAACCCCTCATAATGGGCACAGCGGGGGTACAGACCCGGGAACTCAGCACAGGGATGGTGGGGACCCCTCATAATGGGCACAGCGGGTGTACAGACCCGGAACTCAGCACAGGGATGGTGGGAACCCCTCATAATGGGCACCACGGGCGTACAGACCCGGGAACTCGGCACAGGGATGGTGGGAACCTCTCATAATGGGCACAGCGGGCGTACAGACCCGGGAACTCGGCACAGGGATGGTGGGAACCTCTCATAATGGGCACCGATTTAGACCGATAATATATTCTTTGTACAGATCGTTCTCCATTTCCACTGTTCTCAGAGATGACGCCGCGGATCGGTCATGTGACCAGCGCAGAGGCAAGCATTGTTTAGCGGAGATTACGTACTCATTGGTCATGAGGAAGTCCACCACGTATTTGCGCAGGCAGTACAGGTGCGCGTCCACCATTCCCATCTTGATGCGAATCCGGGGGTACCTGCAACAAAGGAGGAGGAGGAGCTCATTATGGACGAGGAGGAGGAGCGGCATCAAATCATTCATGAAACACAAGAACTTAGAATTCCCCCGGACGGTGAAGCGGCTCTAATGTTTTCTGTAGCCCCTCGGCTCAGTATGGTGGTCTGGCCTCGGAGGACAGCTGGTGGTCCGGCCTCGGAGGACGGCTGGTGGTCCGGCCTCGGAGGACGGCTGGTGGTCCCGGCCTCGGAGGACGGCTGGTGGTCCGGCCTCGGAGGACGGCTGGTGGTCCGGCCTCGGAGGACAGCTGGTGGTCCGGCCTCGGAGGACAGCTGGTGGTCCGGCCTCGGAGGACAGCTGGTGGTCCGGCCTCGGAGGACAGCTGGTGGTCCGGCCTCGGAGGACAGCTGGTGGTCCGGCCTCGGAGGACAGCTGGTGGCCCGGCCTCGGCGGACAGCTGGCGGCCGAGGTCACATGGCCTCCTAAAAACCCAAGAGGTCCTTAACCTCTACAATAGAAGGTGCTTTGGTGAACTACTGATGGACGGCACCATCATTGAGGTCTAAGAACCGTGAAATGTCACCAGAACTCCACGTAGAATACAACATGGGACATTTATTTGTCACAGACCATGGTGCAATGTTTTGGGGCCACCAGGGCCCCTTCTCTCAGGCAGTAGTTACAGAAAAGAGAGTTTTCAGCTCATATTTCATGAGTTGGTAGAGACACGCCTCTGTTGTCTCACTGCCAGTTAGGGGGTTCCCAATATCCACGTCGGATGAAGATGTCTCACTGCCAGTTAGGGGGTTCCCAGTATCCATGTCGGATGAAGATGTCTCACTGCCAGTTAGGGGGTTCCCAGTATCCATGTCGGATGAAGATGTCTCACTGCCAGTTAGGGGGTTCCCAGTATCCATGTCGGATGAAGATGTCTCACTGCCAGTTAGGGGGTTCCCAGTATCCATGTCGGATGAAGATGTCTCACTGCCAGTTAGGGGGTTCCCAGTATCCACGTCGGATGAAGATGTCTCACTGCCAGTTAGGGGGTTCCCAGTATCCACGTCGGATGAAGATGTCTCACTGCCAGTTAGGGGGTTCCCAGTGTCCATGTCGGATGAAGATGTCTCACTGCTAGTAAGGGGGTTCCCAGTATCCACGTCGGATGAAGATGTCTCACTGCCAGTTAGGGGGTTCCCAGTATCCACGTCGGATGAAGATGTCTCACTGCCAGTTAGGGGGTTCCCAGTATCCACGTCGGATGAAGATGTCTCACTGCCAGTTAGGGGGTTCCCAGTATGAAGATCGCAGACCCAATGAATTCTGGTGCTACTATTTGAGGAAAGGGTCCTCAATGGCCTCCAACACATCGCACTTTGGTCTATGACACATAAACACCCCATTTTGTATTCCACACAGAGTGCTGGAGACATTTTGCTGTTTGTGGACCCCTTTGGTGGTGCCACCCATCAGTCGTTCACCAAAAGCACCCACTACTGTAAAGGCTTATGGCTGTACGGAGCCCACTGGACTCCTGCAGCCAACTGCCCTCTGAGGCCCAATCAGATTTGGATGGCCTACCTTGTATAATAGAGCCGAACAAATCTCTCATAGAGTCCAAAAGTATTTGATTCCACAAACAACCAAACGGAAAACAAAAAGACAGTCAGCTCTTTTCAGGGGCCAAAACAATCAGCCTTCATCGGGGGCCCCTGTACAGGACTCAATTACACTTAGATTCACAATTTAGGTGACCTCTATATTTTGAGAAAGACTCCTATTTTATAGAGTGCAGCTGAACCGAAGCCTATCGGGCTGAGCCAGGGACTTTTGTATAGGCTGGAGATCTAAGGACTTCCATTTGTATCTGTTGGGGATATAAGGACTTCTATTTGTATGGACTGGAAATCTATGGACTTCCATTTGTATGGACTGGAAATCTATGGACTTCTATTTGTATGGACTGGAAATCTATGGACTTCTATTTGTATCGGTTGGAGAACTAAGGATTTTGATTTGTATTGGTTGGAGATCGACTGGCTTTTTTTTATCAACTAGAGAACAAAGGACTTCTATTTGTATTGGTCAGGAATCTTAGTCCAGCAACATTATTATTATTATACAGTATTTATAAAGCGCCGATAGTTGGCTCAGCGCTGTACATTACAGAGGGGGACAGAACATGTGACAGAACAATACCAATACAATGTGATACATGAGGGGATCGAGGGCCCTGATCCTGGGAGCTTACAATCTAGGAGGGAGGGGATGGTGGTACAGGAGGAGATAGCTGTGGGGGATGGATTGGTAGGAAGAGTGGAGGAGGTCGGCAAGTTAGTAGGGGGTGGGGTAGGCTTCCCTGAAGAGATGGGTTTTCAGGGTGCGCCTAAAGGAGAGGAGAGTAGGTGATAATCTGATGGGTTGGGGCAGGGAGTTCCAGAGGATGGGTGACACCCTGGAGAAGTCCTGGAGGCGGGCATGGGAGGAGGAGACCAGGGAACTAGAGAGAAGGAGGTCTTGTGAGGACGGAGTGTGCGTGTTGGGCGGTACTTGGATATTAGGTCAGTGATGTAGTACGGGGCAGTATGGTGGACGGCTTTGTACGTCAGTGTTAGGATTTTGAATTTGATCCGTTGCGCAATCGGAAGCCAGTGGAGGGATTGGCAGAGGGGGGTGGCGGAGACAGAGCGGTTGGAAAGGTGAATGAGTCTGGCAGCCGTATTCAGGATGGACTGAAGCGGGGATAGCCAGCGGCGAGGCAGGCCAGTGAGGAGGGAGTTGCAGTAGTCCAGTCGTGATATGATGAGGGAGTGGATGAGCTGTTTAGTGGTTTCTGGGGTTAGGAACGTGCAGATTTTGGCCATGTTGCGGAGGCGGAGTCTGCATGTTGCGGAGGTGGAGTCTGCATGTTGCGGAGGTGGAGTCTGCATGTTGCGGAGGTGGAGTCTGCACGAGTTTGTTAAAGATTGGACATGGGGCTGGAAGGATAGGTTGGAGTCCAGAATGACACCCAGTACTCTGGCCTGCAGGGCGGGTTTGATGGTAGCGTTGTTGGATGTGATGGAGAAGTCAATGGGGGGGGGGGTCCGGGCACATGCCCTACCTCTTCTTTGGATAGCCTACGAAGCCCTCTAAGAAAAATTAGCTCAGGCACCAGTGACAGTCAGTTCCAAATACTTCTATTTGTGTTGTTTGGGTATCTGAGGACTTCTATTTGTCGCGGCTGGAGAGGTAAGGACTTCTATTTGTATTGGTTGGAGATCTATGGACTTCTATTTGTATTGGTTAGATATCTGTGGACTTCCAGTTGTATCTGTTGGAGATCTAAGGACTTCTATTTTTATCAAATGGAGGTCAAAGAACGTCTATTTGTGTCAGTTGGAGAATTTAGGACTTCTATTTTTATCAACTGGAGATCTAAGGACTTCTATTTGTATTGGTTGGAGATCTATGGATTTCTATTTGTGTTGGTTGGAGATCTATGGACTTCTATTTGTATCAGTTGGAGATCTATGGACTTCTGTTTGTATTGGTTGGAGATCTATGGACTTCTGTTTGTATTGGTTGGAGATCTATGGACTTCTGTTTGTATTGGTTGGAGATCTATGGACTTCTATATGTATTGGTTGGAGATCTATGGACTTCTGTTTGTATTGGTTGGAGATCTATGGACTTCTGTTTGTATTGGTTGGAGATCTATGGACTTCTGTTTGTATTGGTTGGAGATCTATGGACTTCTGTTTGTATTGGTTGGAGATCTATGGACTTCTATATGTATTGGTTGGAGATCTATGGACTTCTATTTGTATCGATTGGAGATCTATGGACTTCTATTTGTGTCGGTTGGAGATCTATGGACTTCTATATGTATTGGTTGGAGATCTATGGACTTCTGTTTGTATTGGTTGGAGATCTATGGACTTCTACTTGTATTGGTTGGAGATCTATGGACTTCTATTTGTATTGGTTGGAGATCTATGGACTTCTATATGTATTGGTTGGAGATCTATGGACTTCTGTTTGTATTGGTTGGAGAACTAAGGATTTCGATTTGTATCGGTTGGAGATCTATGGACTTCTATTTGTATCGGTTGGAGATCTATGGACTTCTATTTGTATTGGTTGGAGAACTAAGGATTTCGATTTGTATCGGTTGGAGATCTATGGACTTCTATTTGTATCGGTTGGAGATCTATGGACTTCTGTTTGTATCGGTTGGAGATCTATGGACTTCTATTTGTATTGGTTGGAGATCTATGGACTTCTATTTGTATCGGTTGGAGATCTATGGACTTCTATTTGTATCGGTTGGAGATCTATGGACTTCTATTTGTATCGGTTGGAGATCTATGGACTTCTACTTGTATCGGTTGGAGATCTATGGACTTCTGTTTGTATCGGTTGGAGATCTATGGACTTCTATCTGTATTAGTTGGAGATCTATGGACTTCTATTTGTATCGGTTGGAGATCTATGGACTTCTATTTGTATCGGTTGGAGATCTATGGACTTCTATTTGTATCGGTTGGAGATCTATGGACTTCTACTTGTATTGGTTGGAGATCTTAGTCTAGTACTTTGCCCCACCTCATATTTGGATGGCCTATGAAGCCATCTGAGAAGTTATCTCAGGCACCAGTGGCAGTCAGCATTCTGGCCACTGAGGTACAACAAGTCTCAGCATACCCGGGGCCATTCCACATTCACGTTTTCTCCACGACTGTCTCCACGCTTCATGTCTACAATAATAGGGAATTATGGGAAGTCACGCAGAGACAGCAGCCATAAAGATGCCGCAACATGACCCTCCTGCCAAGACCAACTCCATCCTCCCAATCACAGGGGATTCTGGGAAAACGACGCTTTGCCCTTTCCTCCAAATTCCCGCTGAATTCCGTTTATCTGAGGTTCGATCTTCCCAACACCTAATTAACATTCATCGACTAATCCCCTTGTGTGGAAGAGAAGCGTTATCGGCTCCGAGGAATGTGATCTCCCCGGAATGTATAAACACACGAGAGT